AAGGAAGGAAAAAATAGGGGTGTCCCCCCCCCCCCCCCGCCCCCCCCTCGTTTTCCTCACCTGATACTCTTGTGCTCGGTTTCCAGGAAGTACTCGGAGATGATGGTTTTCCCGTAGGTAACCGCGGTCGCCTTGAAGTCCCGGTTAACCGTGGTCAGGCGCTCCCACTTCCTGTAGCATTGGTCGGGAGTTTCTTCCGGGAGATCCAGCGCCGATTGGAAGAGCTCGTTCCAATTCCCCGTTTCCTAAGGCGCGCGCGCAAAAAAAAAAATGGACATAAAACAAGGGAACGTTGGCATCGGCGTTGTTGTTGTTGTTGTTGTTGTCTTCACATTAAAAACCGTTCCGTTCTCTCTGCCCAGTACCTTCTTCTGTCCGTACTAGTCAAACACTTGATGAGGTCGATTCTCGTGGTCACAGGCTAACTTACCCAAAAGAAGGCATCGACGTAGGTAGAGCATATTTCTTTATCAGCAACACACTTGTTTTTAGTTTGCCTTTAGTTCAGCTATTTCACAAACTTGGTTTTGGGCAGGACGTAAACAAAAAAATATTGGGACTTGGGGTGCCGGTTTTGGTTTCGGCGTGGCGTCGTGGGATGACTTTCATGTGGAACTGGGCGCAGCCGGCCTTGAAAACCAGTTAGGCAACGGCAAGATAAGGCCAGGCAAGGTATAGGGCACGTCTTCCCATGCAAGTACAGCAGTATAAAGCCAGCTGGTGCCAAGCTATTAGTGCCAACCGATTTGGCCGGCACACCAAGCACCCGGCACTCATCAGAGAACTAGGTAAAACGACTACTCCATCTGTATGGCACGCGATAATACGGAGTGACCGGCCTCTTTAAGCGTCTTTCTACGGGTACCACCACTGGATAACATTTGGGTTCACTGGATCCTTTCAGAACGATACTTTCTTTCAATGTAAGCTTGGCTGCTGTTCCTCGCAGCGCGGTTCGCGGGGACCCCCGCTAGACGGTAGGTCTGGTGCCAGGGGAACACGCGTGCGCGAGGAAACAGCCTGTCCCCGTCCGATTGTACCCTATGGGTAGTCGCGGAATGGGGGGCTTGTCTCAGCAAAAAAGTGAGGGAGGATGTTGACAGCAGGTGCAGGGTCCTAACGGGTAGCTCGAGGGGTTGGTTCAGAGACAGCAACGTACCGTGACAATGCCAAAGGGCTATCGTATACTACACGACGCAAGATAACACACCCCCTGGACCGATTTTCAAAGCTCGATTACTCCACGACGAAGAGGATACATAAACGAAACGATATGTTTCGGAGAGCTCTCTCTCGACCAGACGGCTTCAACGTCGCCGTTTTCGGCGCTATGACTCTTTCTGCTGTTGACAAAATCGAGCTTCGAAAATCGGTCGAGGGTGTGCGTTACCTTGGGTCGTATACGGTAGGTACCCTTGGCTACATGTCTTGTTCTTTGTCTCTCTCAACAAGTCTTCGACGACAAAGGCGGGCACAGGATCTAGGGAAACCATCATCACCCAGCAACATCGACACCCGCTGCGCAAACACCCTACCGCCACGCCGCCGCGATCCCTCGCTACCACCACCGACCACAACAAGACCAACAGCAAGTTTTTGTTGTCGCCCACGAAAGGCCGAGGCGGGGGCCGGTGGGGGGAACATCGACTTGCTGTGCTGACGCGTAACCTCCCAGCCCCGAACCTTCAAGGGAGTGCCAACAAAAAACAGAAAACGACAGAAAACACGCCGTGCACGCTAAGATACACCCGCGACTCTCTTTCCAAGGGCCGACTTCCAATAACTACTTTGTCCGTTGTTCAAGACAAGGAAAGGAACGGGCAACAACAGAGCCGGGAGCCCGAGAGCATGTTACAGGAGCAGGTTCACATATCAATCACTCTACAGCGCCATGAGGTGTTCGGCGCGCTGCATGGACGGTGCGCTGCACCCTTTACAAAAAAACTGTCACCGGGTGTCCCGTCTTAGGTGTGTGTGTTAGCCTGTCTCACAAAAAACGCGCCACCACCTTGTATTATAGCAGACAAGAACGGAGCGCCAACCACCCGCAGGAAGCGAGGTCGGGACAAGAGACGCAAAAATATCAACCTCCTCCAGCCAAGGCACACAAAAAACCGAAGCATCAACAGTCCAAACAACCAAAGCACATTTTTTATTGGTGTTTCTTAACATGAACATTCCAAACAACTGTGGAGATCACCTTAATAAAGATCTCCCCAACGTCTGTCGAGGACGATTCCCTCTTTTCACAATGGCGTCGACAGATATGTCAAGAGTAACTGATTTTGGTTGCAAAAGACATGGGTTCAAAACCAGCTGCTCACCAAATTTCTTCCGGACAACGGAAAAAGAAAAACGGTGGGTGGGCCAAAGAAGGACGCACTGGCTATCGAACTCGGAACTACTGATGACGTGGCGGACGTAGCGAACCCGTGTACTCACGCACAGAGGATTGTGAAGAAAAGTGAATCGCCCCGCCGCCAGCCGGTCGGGTTCCGGTTACCCCAAGAAGACTTCTCTTGCCTAGCAAACAAGAAGAACCCTCGAAAAGGGGGGGGGTAATGTGGTGACCACCTTCATAAAGGTACAAACCGCAGGAGGGGGTCCAACCCCCCCTCCTATGTGACCCCGGTTGGGTCGTCTAGCTATTAGTAGAAGTGGAAGATGGGGGCCAGAGGGGCAGACGACAGAACCAATGATAGAAAAAAAAAAAAAAATCCAGGGTACACCTCGGGAAATTTCCCGCCGTTACTGGTCCCGGTACTGGCGGTAATTAACGCCACAATCGGTGGTACCGGGAACCCCCGAAGGCGGTACCGCCGAAAAACGAAATACCGCCTACCGCCTAAAAAGTACCGCCATATTGCAGTACTGTACCGCCGAAGAAGTACCGCCAAAAAACGAAGTACCGGGAACCGCCTAAAAAGAACCGCCATATTTCAGTACCGCCATAATTGGCAGTACCGGGAACCGACAAAGGCGGTACCGCCGAAAAACGAAATACCGCCTACAGCCAAAAAAGTACCGCCACATTGAAGTACCGCCCCGCCTGAATCCGCCTAAAAAACTAATACCGAGGTGTACCCTGAAAAAATCTCCCCAACGTCTGTCGAGGACGATTCCCTCTTTTCACACAACAAAGGCATTTTTTATTGATGCTTCTTAACCTCCTAGTACTGGAAGCCCAAATGGGGAAACTTTGGGGACACAGCACTCAAATGCCTATTTAACGCACTGTAGTCACCCTAGGCTCCGCTCTGTGCAACGCACGTGATAACCCTTGGTCTATCATGCCTGGCTGAGGTGGTACCCTGTGTCATATGCTGTGTGATGAATCTCCTGGGCCTCTGACTTGCAATACACATCTCCCAACCCGCGTGCCCCCTAGCTCGTAAAGCTGTACATCGCCTGGTACTGGAAAAATTTGCTGACTTGGCTTCAGTATGAAAAATGTCCCCACGTGTATTGGGGACACTTTTCACACGGAAGCCAAGTCACCTTTGTATCGCAAGGAGCTCAGATTCTTTGGAGGGACTACTGTAGCCCCTCGACCAATGGTTGACAAACAAATTCAAATTTGCGAAATGTTTTTGCGGAGGGACTGGGTACAATCATCGGAGGGTTAACGTAGAATATTTCAAACAGCCAAAGCATTTCTTCTTAACATGACACGATAAACCCATCTATATCAATGGTATTTATATTTCTTACCCGGTACGCCTGCTCCATATCGTCCGGGAACACCAGCTCCCGGAAGCGTTCCCAGCTCCTGTCCGGGACTTCTCGAGCACCACCACCACCGCCACCTCTCCCTCCACCACCCCCGCCACCACAATCACTCTGCCCACCCCAGCCGCCACCGCCACGGTTCGACCAACCACCACGGTTCGACCCACCAGCACGGTCCGACCCACCAGCACGGCTACCGCCCCCAGCGCTACCCCTCCCGCGGCCGACAAGATTATGTGTACCCCCCTCCGTCCACGTCCAGGACCCCTCCGCGGCCCCCCCAGCGCCCCGGGAAACATCGTTGCGCAAGCTATCCCGGCGTGACTTCTGAGGGAGGATACGCGTGAAGCAAGGGAAGGGGGGCGCACTCTCAAGTTTTGCATGCCTTAGCGGCGGATAGACCATTGACCACCCGTCCTCGAGGGGACGGAGCATTGTTCCCGCAGGACCCATCACCGCTGGTCAATCGTTCCTCCCTCCTTTTGCCACAGTGGAGCCCCAGAGAAGGGGTGCTGGCGGCATCTCATCAGAGGCATGTCTTGATCGCAACGTGTACGAGCCCACACATGTGTTGTCGCAAGCATCGCCGATCCTTGGACAGCGTGGTATGCGCGGTACGCAAGCACGAAACACCACTGCTATGTTGTCGTGTCGTCATGGGTCAGCCTGAACTTGTGCTTGGTTCTAATAGGAGGCGTTCGGACGGCTACCACAAATACCGTGGGCTTACGCCGACTCCGCAAGTGTCATACAAAAATCGTGAAAAAAGAAAGAAAATTTGTGTTGCTCTCGGTGCCACCACAGGCAGCGCAGGCGTTCCGGCACGAAGGCTGGTACAGTGCGCACAACTGGGTTGTTTCTGGAAACCACGTTGTGGCTAACAAAACACAGAGGATAGTTGCTCGTTTTGCTACTGCTGCAAGACTGAAAACGTGAACTGTTTCTGTTGGTTCGTTGACGTTCTTACAGCTATCCGAGTCAGCTGTGTGCGCTAGAGAAACGTCACAGCAGCCGGCTGTGGGTTGGTCCCGCTGCTACCTGCTTCTATTTTCATCTTGCATCGACGACACGGCTGTGTTCTCATCAGCCCACCCCGGAGAGATCACTTGTAAAATGTATCTACATCTCCCGTAGACGCCCTCCGTGTGTATGTGTGTTGACCCCCATCTATTCTGGCCACACACCGTTCAGTGTAGACAGTAGAGAGGTCCCTGTTTAGTGCCGTATACTGCCGGTAAAGTGCTGGTGTTTTGGCAGGCACACACCAAGACGTCCTGTACTTTTAAGTAGTCCCGGTGTCCGGTATCGTGCCGGTGATTGTTTCTGGGCACACACACCGGTACTAAACAGGGAAGTACCTCTAATGTGTGTTTCACGTTTCAACTGGGGTCACGCAGGCGTGATTCGGTGTTATACAGCTCGCATAGTTCCCTACAGGCACACACGCTCACGGCAACGGAACCGCCTTCGCCAGAAATGAAGTTGATGAGGAAATACGTAGAACAGTAAGGGGGGTACGCAGACCCTATCCCTAACCCTAACCCTACCCTAAACCTAACCCAACTTCCCCCATTGCATGCTATATTCAACATGTTTACTTACAGTGTTGGCGACGGTTGAAGGGAGGGTCGTGACAAGCCAGTATTTCTCTCTTTTTAAATCCGGTTTTCTTTCAAACCGTACTGTGAAATGTATGTATTTCTCACGGTCGTCATAAGCCAGTTTGACTCTCTTAAATAGGTACTTTCTCTTCAATAGTCTCTCTTGAACCGTAGCCGCCACTGTAGTCGAATAGTCTTGCAAGGTTACTGCGGCAACGAGGAGGGGTGTGCCCAAGACGCCTTGTCCAAAGCCATCTCTTCAGCATCGAGGGATTAACGGGGTTGTATGGCTGGGATTTCATGTCCGTAGGTCAACACAACCAACGCTCTTGCTGACCAGACCCCATCGTTTGTCTAAAAAAAACAAACACGTATTTGTTTGGCAAGTGCGCCCGTGGCATGATAGATTCCTCGCACACCAGCACGATGTGGAGTTGTTTGTAGCTTAAACTTCACCACAGCACGTTTACAGGGAGTCTTGTTCCTGGCTACTTTCGCCGCATCCGACGTTATAGGTAGTCTTGTTCCTGGCTACTGTCGCTGCATCCCTCGCTCACGCACCACGAATTAAGAGTCAACTCACCTGCGTGCGACTCGGGGCAGACGCGGGGCCGCGATGATTCATTGTTTGAGGTCTTGACTGGACGTTGTTGTGGTTGTTGGTGTTGTTGCTGGTGTTGTTGTTGCTTCCCTGCTCAAGCACGGAGGCATGGGAACGGGAAGGGTGATGGGGTGATACAAGCGAATATTCTGGGACATAATGCGAGAGGAAGAGAGATCGGTTGCTGTGTTGTGGCCGTTGTGAGCTAGCTGTGCAGCGATATATAACGTGCAGTTCCTTCTCAGTCGTGTCTGCCGAAATCAGGGTGTTGTTTGGACATTCCAACACCTTTACCGAGAAGCTGCAACCACACTAGAGAACATTCGGCGGCCGAGCTACGAACCTCAAAAAGTTCAAGGCACAAGGACAACAGGTCCCAAGAAAACCGTACACTAAAACCTATGTTGTCCAAGTTACCTCACAGAGAATACAAGAACAGAGCCTCCAAGTAAAACAAGAGGTTTCTAATCGCATATGCATAGTCGAACCGGGGCGTCTCTTTTGGACGTGAAGCCAGCAGCAAGCTGCGACCAATTGCAGAGAGCGGTGGGTCTAGTTTTGGATGTTGCGCCAGGAGGTTCCGTGCGCTTGAAGGGCTCTTTAGAGAACAGTAGCCTTTGCAGGGTTTTTCTACCAAGTAAACATTATGGATAAAGCACGCAATCGGGGAAGTTTGGCCGAGTTCGACTACACACACACATGACATCCGATCAATTTCGTTCGGTAGTTCGCTGGGGCTTTTCGACGCCACCTGTTGTTCGACCTTGGGAAACGCGATGGGTGGAAGTCAGCCAGCTGTGCGAGCTTTCTTCTGCATGGTGCATCCCCGCTTTGATGACACTGCCGCGTAAATCATAAGCCCGCTCCGGAGGACATTCTTGTAGAATTAAGCAATCAACTTACCTTGTAGTGAAGAATTAATCAACTTACCTTGTGGAAATAGAAGAATAACCGACCTTGTATGAACAGAATTGCGAATAAACTTACCTCTGTCCGCCCCTGAGCAGGTAGGTGTCCCCGAAAATTCACTTGTTGCGGTCTTTGCTCGTTGTTGTTGTTGTTGTCGTCCCTTTCCTGCTCAAGCACGGAGGCATGGGAAGAGGGGGGGGGGGGGCATCCTGTAAAGACATAATTCGAGAGGAAAAGAGACCACGGTCGGTTGCTATTGTTGTTACCGCTGCTGTTGTTGTTTGTCGTTGTTGCTGCGTCTGCTGCTGCTGCTGCTGCTGTTGTTTGTTGTTGTTGCTGCTGCTGTTGATGAGGCTGCTCTTAGTGGCTGTTGTTGGCGGCTGTTGTTGCTGTGAGCTGCAGCGATACACAAGATGCAAAGACCAGCTCTTCCCTGGTCGGGTCTGCCAAAGTCAGGGCTTGTGTAGACCCCCCAACCGAGAAGCTGCAACCAAACAAGCACACATAACTCGACAAATAACGGCAGCCTAGCTGAGAAAAAGCAAGTTTCACTTGTATGAACGCATAATCTAACTTTGGCGTGGTGAGCAAGAGCACCGAAAAGTATACGTACTCGTCAGTCGTGGGTGGGAGGCAACAGCTGCCGTAAGTGCCACCGCTTCTTAGACACCGAAAAGTATACGTATACATCAGTCGTGGGTGGGAGGCAACAGCTGCCGTGAGTGCCACCGCTTCTTAGACACCGAAAAGTATACGTACTCGCCAGTCGTGGGTGGGAGGCGACAGCTGCCGTAAGTGCCACCGCTTCTTCAAGAAAATGACAGCTACAAAAGTGAACTTCAAACACTTCAAGCGAAGAGGAGCCCCGCGAGAGCCTCAGACCTATGGGGACCCCCCCCACTATCCCTACCGTGACCTTGTTATCAGGCGCGGTTACGTTAGTCGTCGGGCCGAGCATGTGCCCAGCTCGCTGCGGCATGGGCATGACCGTCATGCCGGATGGGCACAAGAACATGACCACAAGAATTGCAGGTGCTACGTCAAGAAAACAGTACACTAAAACCTACCATGGCATTTACTTCAATACAGCATCGCGCAGGTGCTCAGTCAAGAAAACCGTACACTAAAACCTACCATGGTTATACTTCAGTACTATGGTATATACTTCAAGTAGTTGTTGTTGGGGTTTCCCACCGAGAGAGCACAAGAAAACAAGCGTCGGGCACAAAGACAAGGGTTTCTTTTAAAGCGCAGACGCGTTCCGCAAAACGCTCGTTGGGGGCAACGACCGCAAATATGATCTTCTGGACGTGGATCCGGCAGCTAGTTTAGATGACACCAAGGAAGCCACTGGACTGATTTTCGGATCGCCTTCGCGAAAATAGGAAGTTGATAAGGAAATAAAACAGGGAGGGGGGACGCAGACCCTATTTCCTAGAATCAACCCAACTCCCCCGATTGTACACTTTGTCCAACATGTTTACATATTCGAAACACCCTGCAAAGGCTACCGTGATCTTCTCGTGTGGGTGATGGGTCTGGTTTCGGATTCTGCCCCCATCCCGTCGTACGATTCCACGCCCCTGAAGGGCTCTGTGAAGAATCGACTCAACACACAAGAGACTGCTGTATACCACAGAATTGAAATCCTTTACGTCTCAGTTTGGCGAAGTCCGCTAGCTGTGCGGGTTGTTCGAGCTTGTGAAACGTCACGGATGGCAGCCAGCCAGCCTTTCGAGCGTTCATTTTTAGAAACAAGTATGTTTTGTGGTATCGTGCATCTTTTGTATCGCGCATCACTCCTTCGATGGCACTGCTGCGCAACCATGAGCCTGCACCCTTATAGTCTGAAGAAAATATCCTACCTTGAAGAATAAGATACAACTTACTCCACTGTAAAATGAGAATAAACTTACGTTATAGAATTAAGAAGCAAGTTACGGTGTAGAATGACGAGAACAAACTTACGGTGTAGAATTATGAGAATGAACTTACGTTGTAGAATTAACAATAAACTTACCTGTGTGCGTCCCGGACGAGTCAAGTGCCCGGGATGAACCGCTGGTGGTGGTCCTAGCTCGTCGTTGTCGCTGTCGTTGTCATTGCTTTCCTGTTCAAGCATGGAGGCATTTTGCCGGCAAGGGGGGAGGGGGGTGAGTGAAGACGCGTAGTTCGACAGGAGAGGAGTCCACGATCGGTTCCTATTGTTGTGTTGTTGCTGTTGCTGTTGTTGCGGTTGTTGTTGTCAAGTGTTCAGAGACATGACGAGAGGAGGGTACGGCCGGTTGCGTTGTATATAGGTCAGAGCTTCACAAGTGTCCGGTATACACGACACCCCATGCCCGCACTATGTTTGTAACTCTCACCCTACAAACGATGTGGACGGCCATACCCTCAATGGAGGACGGGGGGGGGCGAACCCCCCCCGCGTCCGGACCTTGTATGACATTCCTATGCATGCACCTCCAAACTGATGTGGGGTTAACGAGGCCTCGGTTCAGGAAGGGGCAGGAAGCACCTATTCCAGGACAACTAGCGGTTGAAACGCCCTGACCATAAGGAGCACGGGCAGGGAATGTACTATTATAGTTACCGTAGGTGACGTAAGATAACACAACCCCATGCACTGATTTTCAAAGCTCCATTTACGATACTCCACAGTCGACAGAGTGGCGGTGGCGAAAATGGCGGAGTTGGAAGCGTCTCGTCGAGAGTTTCCCCGAAACCGTACCGCTTGATTAATGCACCCTCTTCGTCGTGGGGTAGTCGAGCGTTCAAGATCGATCCACGGGGTGTGATATGTTACGCCATCTACGACGGCGGTGTCTGACATTTTTTTTTCATGTGCGGGGATGGCGGTAACGGAGCGCAATCAGGCGGGTGAAGCCTGCGGACACGTGCGATAATTTTTTCTCTACGAAGAGAAGGGCCGCACGCTTTGAGACCTTGTCGTCCTTTTCCGACGTGTCTCTCTCGGATGCATCTCTCTGTGCTACAGCCGTTGAGCACGTTGTGCCTACTTGGCGCTCAATGATACCTGGGACGATCGTTGCACGAAAGCCTCGAACCTCAGGAAGAAGGAACACCTGATACCTACCATTCCTCCAAAGGTCGAGGTATGTGAGTGTGGGTGTGTGAGTGAGTCGCCGCCGTCTGACACAATCTGCACAAGTCGTCCACACGATGAAGACTCTTTTTTGAGGAGTTAAATATCCCCGTTCTTTTTCGATGGACACCCGACAACGGACGCTTTCAGCGCGGGAACCCTGTACACGGGTTGTTTCTTTGCTGCCGGCGAAGCCACCTCGCCTGCTCTGGTGTTTCCTCTCCTTGTGCAACAGCAGTTTGACCCATTCGATTCATGACTGGTACTGTACGCCGGTGTTTCACCAAAAATCTCAAGCCAGACGCAAGTCAAGAAGACCTCGCGCACAGATGCAGAGACGCCAGAACAACCCGGTGTCACTTGAGGTGGTCCCGGGGGGACGTTGGGCGTGGAGGTAGAAACACACGAAGCACATTCGGATACCTGGGTGGGTACAGCAGTTTGCGCCCGCCCTCAAGAAGCTCTACCTAGTTTTGGCCGAAGGAGGGTTCCTATCTCCTCTCGTGGGCTAGAAATGGAAATGGCCGCCATATATGCACACCTATACCTGTTCGTATAGGGGTTCCTTACCGAGCTCACGAAATGTGCTCAAGTTCTTAGATTTTAAGTTTTTCGAGGCTGCATCAATTTCTTAACTGCCAGGTTTGAAGTGCGGGCGCTAACTACTGCTGACTACTGCTGCTGTGTAGCTCGACTGCTGATTGACGGACGCCAAGTTACATCCGACGCCAAGTTCAATCTGTCCCTTTCATTTTCCCGCGGTATCGTACGCACCAGCACGTCATGCATGCGTGACCTCTCCGTGAAACTCGCACTCTTCACTCAAAGTGGCACAAGATTCCGCGGAACCCCTCGCCAACAGACTTTTTTAATTTTTTTTTCTTAATATGACACAATGAATCCATCTCTATCATAGAAAAGTCAGAGACAGATTAGCAATGAATTCATATCGTCAAAAAGTACCTCTATGTCTACGATTTTCGCAGACAGCATTAGGGACATCTCCCCTGCGGGTAACAGGCTCATCAAAACAGTTTGGTAGCTGTCTTGTGTGTCTCATATATGTTATGTTGGGAAGTTATCCATTACTTGAACTCAATGCCGTGAGCGTTGGTGCGCTGCGTGAAGTTTGCCCACGTGAACCCGCAGGGCAAACTGAAGATTGCGCAGACTGGGTTGGGCGCCGACAAAAGAAGCTATGAATCCATTGCTAATCTGTCTCAGACTCTTTTCTATGATAGAGATGGTTTCGTTGTGTCATATTAAGAAAAATAAAAAAAAAGAAGATAGCCGCATTATGCAGCATGCAGCAGCGCTTACATTTTTTTTTTTCATGGCAAAAGAAGAGACCACCACAACAGCAGTTCTGGCTCTCTGCTGCAGGGGGACCTACGAGACAACCCCCCAAAGCGTCCAGCGCAAGCATCGGCTACATTTTGTTCCGGCCCTGTGGCAGAGTAGGGTAGCATACGTAGGTCTGTTTTTCTTCGCCCCTGCGGTTGCATATGCGCACGTGATGCACACCGGCAAGTCAAAGGCAGAATACTTAGCGGGACACATGGAGCTGGAAAATGAATGTCACGCACAACAACAGCAGTGTCTCACCGGATCTGCCCCGTCTTCCTCCACCGCTGGAAGCCCTGTTACTGACCCGCCGATTATCGCCCGGCTGTTTTCTTGCCTTTGGAGGGCCATCCTAGGCATTGGTCCGTAAAGGTACGCGGTAATTAGCAGTAAGCACGGCAGGCGGGGCTCCCTCCCGCAGATTCTCTCCGCCGTGAAGTCGTGCCGGACAAAGAAGTTGCTTGTGCTCTCTCCAAGCTTCAACAGGCGGCAGCAGCAGAGCTCTTGCGTTTGAAGTCAAGACAAGGGGGCGCTACTCCACTGCCTTTTCTTGCGCTTCTTCCTCTCGATCTCTCCCTCTTTCTCGCTTCCGCCGGCTCTTCCGCCGCGATCTTCCGCCGCGATGGTGTGATCGGCGGAAGGAGAAGGAAATCTAGCGTGTGTGTGCGTGAGAGATGGGGGCTTTCACACCGCCCTTGCTGCGTTCGTCCCACTCCCTCCCAAAGTTACAATAGTTGGTCACCCGACAAAAATTCGTTGGGGGCTGTCCCCCCCCTGCCGGCGTCTCTCCCTTCTCCTGAAGCCCTTAATCTCTCGAGCGAGGGTGCATGTGACGAGGCCTCTCCTGTGTGTCGGACTGCGGAACGTCTTGCGAGGTGCCGGCTAAGTGCAAGTGCGGGAGTTTGGAGTGGTGGTGTGTGGTACAAGGTGTTGTGTAGATCATCATCCCGTGTCCCCATGATCGGGGTAACTCTTTACCTTAAGGGTACCCTGTATTTTAGTCGGCGTGGCCCCTCCTGCCGACCTCCTGCTGGTGCTCTGTGCGGGCTGCCATCTGCTGCTGTCTTGTAACACACATACACAGCGGCGTGCGCGAGCGGGAATGGCGGAGACTAAGGCGCACGACGCAAGCAGGAACAATGTGGTGGTCAAGGTGCGATATGTTTTCAGTGCTGTCCCACTTGGGTTCGAGGCCATCAGTCTCCTTTGCCCGTCATCAATTTAGAGAGATGTTTCAGGAGAGGCGAGATTGCGCCAGGGACATGAGACAGAGATTTTGTTATGTGCGTGCTCGCGGGCTGACTTGTACTAATTGGTTGCAGCAGAGATTATATCGGTATATCTACGTAGGGGCGAGAAGCACGGGTTCTGGACGCAGGAGCTATAGCTGTGAAGTTTTTTCGGTCCCATTGACACAGAGTGTGGTTTCGTTCGTCCATTTGAAAAATCTCTACATTGTACTTCTGAAGTATGCATACAACTCAAGACCCCAGGGCCGGCCGCTGCCTCTGTCGCACATCACATCCCACACCAACAAGGCCCAAAAAATTGAGCTCTGTTATCATGTATTATGCATGTTTTTGGGCCCGTCGCCTAGTAACTGCCCCTTTTCATGGTGGTTCCCTCGCCAATTTTCGCTGTGACTCTCGCGAAATCATTGGTTGATAGGATTGCGATCAGAAGTCTGCTGATAATGTACTTGTCTCGCTACACTCTACAGCGGTAACTTGGTTGCCGGGCATCCCCTGCCGCCCCCCCGCATCCCGAGAGCCGACCCATCCTTCGAGAAGGGTCAGAATGTCAGCACGCTAGTGGTAGTTGAACCCATTACCCAACCGCCGTTTTAAAAGTCGCGGTAATCCGAGGACAAACGAACCGCCCACAAAGACGCGCCGGATATTACAAGTTCCCGCGATGTACATACTCAAGTACACCCGCAGGACAACCAGTGCTTGCGGCAACGGATCGTGGTCTGCCTATGTAACAGGAAACGAACTTACTCCGGAGAAAGAGCGCTATTCACCGCCGGTGACCCCCTTCGTCCGGCAAAGTGCACTAGCCGTTCGCAACTATATTCTGAGTTGGGTCGGGACGTTAGTTCGGATCTCGGCACAGTAATTGCGCACTCGGTGATTTTCTGCTCTCTTCGTTCACGTAGACTTATGCGCCCCACAGCATTGATGGTTTCGTGGGGTTGTTTTTTACACGAACGCTGAGGTTACGGTCGACAAGGAAGTTGGACGGCTGAAAGAATCTTGCTATAAACATCAAGGCGAGCATCAGCGGGGCCCCCGAGAGAGAAGCACAACCTTCGGTAGTCTTCCTCCTGCGTGACCCCGCTTGTTTATCCATACATATTGCCCCGAAAAGGAATGCGACCACACGCAAACGGTAAGCATCTGTGCAATCGTGTAGATAAGAGCTACGTTGCTACCCTGCCGCCACAGCAGAGGAAAAAGACCACGGCCATGCAGCCACGGCTAAAGGAAAACCAAGCTGTGCATGCGTTTTTTTCCGGGAACCAATTTCGATTATTTGTCCCCGAAAAATTTCCGACCCGCGGGTGGTTCCAGACGACAGCATCATTGTTTGTAGCGAAAGGGTGTTGAAGGGAAGCATGTACAATTGCTGTGGTGCGTTCGGCAACCCACGGGAGTTCATGCAGCACGCTCAGGAGCAATAGATATAGTGGTGCCCTCAGACAGGAGCTCGCAGCGGGATCTCAACCCACACGACGACGAGGACCGTGTTTAGTGATGGTTTATCGCGACAGCGCAGGTGCTCCCGTCGGCGCCACCGGATACTTTTCTTGTGGGTGCTCGTGCTTGACACTCACACCGCGTACACGGTAGATCTAATGGTCCGCGGGGCGTTCATTGTGTGGCCATTTCTGCAACACAGGTAGGCATGGTGGGGGATGCACAGGTCGGGAAAACCACGCTAATGGTCAAGTACGTCGAGAACAAGTTCGACGAGGAGTACATCATGACTTTGGGTGAGCGGGAGAGCAAGCGGCGCTGACTTCATGGGTAAACACACGCGTTGCAAATTTTGCACGCCAGTCCTCTGCCATTGCTGCTGTACAGGCGTGTGCGGCGGGCAGGCTCATTTGCTGCTGCATTGGTAGGTTTGTTAGAAAGACCTTGATGCCATTTTGTGCTCCGTTCACGATTGATGTCGGCATTGCGGTTTGCGCCTCAAGGGCGTGCGGGGCAACGCTGTAGGGTAGCTAGCATTAGGTTGGGAATCGCTGCAAGTAATTGCGTGCATGTTAGTTCAACAGGAGTTGTGTGTGTGCTTTCCCGAAGTTTCGAGTCTCGTCCGTTGTGCGGTTTTACGGTTATACGGTGGCAAAGAACGCTGTTTCAGATCTCTGTGGAACTTCACCCATGCTGGTATTGTACGCATTCTTGGAGTGGCTCATTGCTGATTGGAAAATATTGCGTTTTCGAGTCGCGCCCAGTTGTCTACGCCGATTGATATATGACACGTACGTTTGCAGCAGTGACGGTCAAATGACGATTCTTTCAGCACCGATCCTCCTGTTGCTCTTGGCACCTACTTCAAAGTAGCTACAAGAGCGGGTGGTTCTTGCAAGCGTTCGCTGACAAAATCCTGTCATTGTTGTTCATATTCCTCTTGTTTGAGCGTTCGTGCTGGAGGGTTTTTCTCGCGAGCTCACTGCAGGGTTCTACGGGGGATGTGTTGTGGGTTTTGCCGTAAGTTGACAATGGCTTTGGCCGTTGTTCACGATGCATTTCCAATTTTTATGTGGAGTACAATCGTTGCTTTTGTGTGTATGGTTGGAGTTCCGTTCGCTTCTTGACTCAAACATGGCTCAAACATAAAAAATGGTGCACGGACGAACTGCCTTGCCCGGGCAATCATCCCCGTCGCTGCTGCTGTCTTACCTCGCTGTCCTCCGCGTGCATGTTAATCGATCCGCGCTCCAGGCGTTAACTTCATGGAAAAGACCATCACACTCAGGAATACCGAGATTACGTTCAGTATTTGGGATTTGGGCGGGCAGCGAGAATTCCTGAGCATGCTTCCTTTGGTAAGCGTGAGGACGGCTTGTCAGTAATTTTGGTTGTTTCTTGATTCAGCTCATCAAGCTTTAGCCCACTGCACTTGAATTCGCCCACACGTACGGTCGATTGAAACGTGCCGCCGGTCCATGTCGACCGAATCCAGGGGCCAACGACTTCTTCCGACCTTGCATGCGCTAACTTTTTGTATTTTGCCGTTCACTCTCTTGATTTCCCACACCAATGTATATCTCCTGTTGCCATGACCCCGACCCCGCTGCCGTGGCTTTCGTGTTCAGGTATGTAACGATGCGGTGGCTATCTTTTTCATGTTCGACCTTTCCCGGAAGAGCACGCTCAACTCAGTCAAGGAGTGGTACCGACAGGTGAGATAGATGATTGGGAGAGAGCAACCGATGGATGGGACAGATAACTAGTTCACCGAAGGGCATGCCGTATGGGGCGGGGAGATTGCACCCCCCTAGACCAATCTTCGAAACTCGATTACTCCACAACCAAGCTTGCACCAACACAATAAATGGTGGTTTTAGAAACATCTCATGGAGGGCTTTCCGTAGACGCATCGGGCTCTTTCCACCCCCCCCTTGGTTGTGGAGCAATCGAGCTTTCAACGTCGGTCTAGGGGGGGTGCCATCTCTCCGCCTCCTACGGTGCTTACCCTAACCGTAACCCTTTCCCCTTGGTGAGCGAATCAGGGCTCATCTACACGTGATAAGATCAGTCAACGAGGACCATTGACAGATGAACCAAGCAGTGGTACCGGTGGATGTAACGGATGGTATGGACATCCCTGGTAGTTGTCATACCACCCAAAAGCTCAAATCTTGCCGTCCTGTGGATCGAGGACATGTACGGTGTAGCCTTTGAGCCGATCATCACAGTTGCTCAGTAACACTCGTGGCGAATCCTATCGCCTTTCCTTACCCTGGGTGTATTGGGACCCCTCGCTGGCTTGTTTGTTTGTATGGGATGCGGGGCTGTGGGAAAATTTGAATATAAGGTGCGAGGGCTCAACCGGAGTGCGTACGCGTTCCTCGTGGGGACAAAGTACGACCTGTACACGTCAATGCCGGCCGAAGAGCAACGAGATATCGACAAACAGGTATGTTTTTTTTTTGTGGTTGCTGGTTCGGTTGGTCTAACGGTTGCGGTGGTTGTTGGGGTGGTGACGGTTGATGTTGTCGTTGTTGTTGCTGCTATTGTGTACGTTTAGTTTTGGGTTTTCATGTGAATGGTGGGTCCATCTCTTCGGCAACGTGCACCTTGCCCCTGAAGCATTTGGTTCGCGTTGTCTGCATTTCTTCGTGTCGTTCTCCATCCTTGCTTTGTTCACCGTCCTCGCTTCATTCGGCCCCTTTTCGTGAAACCCTTTCCCAGGCACGCAAGTTCGCGAAGGCAATGCACGCGCCACTGATATTCACGTCGGCATCCCACTCCATCAACGTGCAAAAGGCAAGGACTGGAGTCGTTTGTAGCTGTCGAGGTTGATAGTGCATTGCATTGGCGAGCGGTCTGTTCGCGAACTATGTTGACGGCCCCCCGCGGTTTCTCACATGCCACTCCCGATGTCGTGTAAACACTTGCCGCTTCGCCAAAGAAACGTGAGAAGAAGGATGTCCCTACGGAGAACCCCGTGTCCGCGCATGCACACAGCTCACGTGCCTCACCCATGCACACAGCTCACGTGCCTCACCCATGCGATACCCTACACACACCTTACGCCTAAGCTTCGAAACCCATGAAGAACCTTGGAGCACTCCACTGCAGTAGCCCGTTTCTGCTCTTCCGCTGAGGAGTATTGTAGGAGCGTCAGAAACTGTCCGCAGTCAAGCCTCGCCCTGGTAGTAGGTCCCGACGCTCGTCTGCCTTGACCGCAGAGGCTGTGGTGCGGCCTTAGAACAAGGATGCGCGTCGCCAAGTTTGCGTCTGCCGCACTTGCGTGCAGAATCAACCCTCCAGCTGACACACTGCGTCCTCCATATTCGCGCTTTGTGTTTCATTCGCCGACGGAAAACAAAAAACATGATATTCCGATCGCACAGATGTTCAAGGTGGTTTTGTCTAGGGTGTTCGACTTGAGGTGCAACCTGGACGAGATATCTGGTGCAGGGGAACCGCTGCTGCTGTTCTCGAAGGAAGAAGGGGAGGCCGCCGCGAGCAAGGCCAAGAAAGCATCATCATCATCTTCGTCGTCATCGCCGACGGAAGGGGCGGCAGACGCCCGGAAAGGGGCCGCGAAGTAGACGGTAAGTAGATAGACGGGCTCGACAGAAGGAAATACACGGACGGGAGGTGTTGAGTTGGCTGCGGGGAAGTAATCCAGCGTCTGCTGGCCTGTGTTGCTGGCAACCTTGGGATGAAGGTGCGCAACTTACTCATTCCGCGTATCCGAGGAAGAGAGAGAGCCGCGGCCGCGATGATGCGGTTTGCTGATTCGAGTAGGGCGTTGGCTGGGATGGCTGTAACACGTGGCGTCGGTATGTGTTTCCGCCTGGCGAACTAGCCTAGGCTGCGGCCGCTGTAGATGCGATTCTGCACCTCCTCGAATTCCGACTGCATGTGGCGGTCACTGAAGGCGCCTGGCCTGCAGCAGTAGGACTCACTTGACAAATTACTTCATATATGCATGGATGGCCTGTATTTGATCGTTAGCGTTTCGTGCCCGATGCCCTACGGGTGTGGTAACGGAGGTCTGCTCTTACCGGCGGGGGGGGTTGTCTACAAGGGGCGTGTACAAGGTGCACCCTTTTATCTACCAAGTTGGGTGTTTCACATGCATGTGGTCATCCCATTTCTGTTGTGTTTTGATCGAGTTATCCTGGTAGAATTGGAAAAACCGACTCACGGTGTTGTTCTGCCTCGCAGTCTCCGCGCGCCTCTCTGGGGGTCACATTGAGCATTTTGAGCGGCAGCGAGATTTTGCCGTGCAACCCGCTATCACTTGGGAAGCGCGAGATCCCACGATCCCAGTCAGCTAGCGCCGGTAAAAATGAGTGGTTTTGGGCTTGTTGTAGTTGGCATTTTGAAGCCCCCCCTTCCCCCCCCTTCCCGTGTTATTGCGCTACCGCGTGTTTGTTGTTTTTGAACCCTTTCCTCACGAGGTCAGTTCCCCCCCATCCTGCATTCCGTCGCAGAGATGCCGAAGGGTAGTTTATTGGTCGGCGCCGCTTTGCCTGCAGAAGCTCCTCTTGTGGTGTCCGCTCCTTTTGTCTTGGCGGCAGTAGAAACTACAGTTGTTCTTGTGTGGGTGCATGCACACATTCTGTCCGCCCGATCACAAAGCAATTATCCTGTGCCTTTCCATTTTTCGGTCGATATTCGGGGACTCTCATGTCTGCCGTGTGGAGACGGATCAAGGGTGTAATGATCTTGTTTCGTTTTGGGGGGGGCGGAAGAGTGGGGCTCCTGTTCCGTGTAAAGTAAATTGGCCTCACCTCTCCGTTCTAGGTATTTATGCGTGTGTAGTCCGGGAAGTGTGGGAGGCTCGTAGTGTGGTGGAAGTTTCTGCAAAGTCAGGCCGGTGCAGGCACGTAAATAGCAAGCTTGACGTGTATGTTCATGTTCGTACGTGTTCGCAAGGATGGATGTCTCTAAACGCGACGTGATATCATCACAACCGCAGTTGGTATGCTAGCGTAAAAAGTTAACATTTCTGTACATTGTCTTCGGTGGTAAAAAAACACATGACTTTCTCGTGAAACGGCCATCTTGTGAGCGCGCTAAGCGCCTCGTTGATGGTGTTTTAAAGCACAGGGTATCGCGTCCGCCGCCGATGCTGCCACCACCAACACCTCCGCCGCGCCCCCGCCGATACCTCGCTCCGCCGATACCTCGCCGCCCCTCCGTATTCCAAGCTCCAATTGGCCCCGTCATGGTGCGCTCAGAACAGCGACTGGTCTTCTCGTCTCCGCTGCGTGGTACCTGTGTTGCTCGCTTCTGTCGTATCTGCCCTCAGACATGAGGAGGCGGGCATGTAAAGCACCCGAAACAGCTGCCAACCTCCGTCCGACCGAGATCTAGAGTGGACGGAAGAGCCATCGCCAGCGACTTGCCCAGCCCTTTATCCCCATCCCCCTCGCACGGTTGTTGTACCGCCCCTGCAGCTTCTCTAGTGTTTATCGGGGTCGATGCTGTCAGCGAAAGAGAGGTCCCAAAAGCCATCCGGGGTTTCCGCCGGCCGGCCGTTCGCCTCGGTGTACTTGTGCCTGGGGGAGGCAGTGTGAAAAAACGTCAGGAATTGCGAAGGGAAGAAAGCAACACAAAGGTGAACGGGCACAGTAATCAACCATAACCGGACACACACAAGCAAGCCGACTGCTGCGCCCCCCAAAAAGAAAATCTGAGTTAACCGCGGAGGAAAGCATCATGCACCATGACAAGACATAGCAGACAAGCACATGCGAAACCTTGCGCAATGCGGAGGATAGAATAATCTCTTGCCGACAGATAGAGGGCAGACGAGCGCTCGACGGAGGGAATATACTCGACGCCGGGATGCAAAAGCGAAGGACACCTTGCCCTCGAAGAAGTTGTGACGTGTCGTTTCCCACAAGGTTTCAAGCCACACCGTATGTGTGTCTGCACATACGTTAGGTAGGACATCCAATTCTCCGCCAAAAAAACGTGTTGACTTCAAAGTCGAGGGATACTTGGCACCCGACACCCTTCGTAAGAGAAGCAGTACTTCCACTGTCGAGGTGTACTACTAAACCCGAGAAGTCATTTTTCGTGACAATTTGTTGTTGTTTTCGCCATGTTGTCCCTTGCACTGCGGGCCGCAACCGGGAAACACGTTGGCCTGTTCCAGACAGCTAATACCTAATCGCACACAATTTAGTGGACACCGAGGACTTGAGATAACATTTTTTCTTTAAGGCGACGACCCAAATGTATCGGGTCTGCGTCCTGCGTCGCGGTACACTATACAGCCTGTGGTCTCTACAAAACAAATATCTTCAGACGGAAAGCACCTCGAGATTACGCCATCCACACAGTTTCGAAAAAACTATCCGAAAAACTATTTTCTGTAGCGTTACACCCATGCGTACTTGTGATCGGGCAGGACCCTGGGTTGTAGAAAGGTGCATACACGACGTCCGCACTCTACGGTAAACGAAACAGATGCGATGCAGTAACTTTTGTATGCGCAACGTACAGTTCTGGGGTTTACGAAAACAGTCCGGGGGCTACAGCACGAGCAAACCTGGCTCTGTTAACCTCACCGTGAGCACATGTTGAGAATCGCCTCTCGCTCTCCTGGAGACCCCCCCACCGCCGCTAGGTACGCCGCACAGTGCTCGCAGTCGTGCCCTTTCATCATCGCCCTTTTGGATCGGTCTCTGACCACCTGCCCAAACCAGATGAGGAAAATTCGGTGGGATGCAAGGAGCAGCGATGAGGAATGTTCGGTGGGTTACAAGGAGCGGCGGAGACATCGACACGTTCGAAGCACCTCCACGAAAAAGTTGAGATGGATGGTCCTGTGATATCGACCCTATTCTTGTTATCAACCGAGCTGTTGACATATCGGCATACGCTCTACACTTGTGTCTCCTGCCACCGTGCATCTCCCACGCCTCACGGAAGAGTCAGCTTCCCACCTCCTGGAACTTGTAGTTGGGCGGCTTGTCATCGCGCGCCCGTTCTCCTCCTCGCCCCGCCCCCCCCCGGCTGGTCACCCCGGCCGTCGCATAGGGATTGGCTACAACCTGGTGCCTTGCCACAGCCGTAGCCGCCGCAGCCGCCCGATTCTTGCTGGAAGAACCTACCCGTTCCTTGCCGCCAACCTCTTCCCCCGGGGTGTCGATCTCTGTGGGTTTTGGCAATCGTCGCTGGTGTGAGGCGCCCCCGTTGGAATGTTCCGGGGGGGCGGGCTTTTCGTTTCCGGCGCTCCCTTCCACGGGAAGTTCATCTTTTCGTGCACCAGCATTCCCAATCCGATCACTACCGCGGGTCCCGCCTCTGTCGTTTGCCTCCAACAGGCGAGGCGGTGAGGGGAGCCGCCCGACTTCTCCGAGCCTGCCGCCTAAAGCACCACCATCACTACCACAATCGCCAACCACTGGGCCACCCTTTCGTCGCTCATAGCCCTGGCAATCAGCTCCAGCAGAAGAAACAACTGTGGCATCTTGCTGGTGCTGGTGCTGGTGGTGCTGCCGCCGTTGCCCGGGCTTCTTCTTTCTGGGGCTGTTGACAGCGGCCATAGTCAACCGAGGGTATACCACGTCATGACCGGTAGAAGAGGCTGTGCCCGCATCACTACCGCCACCGTCATCGTCACCACCAGCGACGACCCGTTCTCCTTCTAATCCTTCCCGCATCGCCGATGTCTCAAACGTGTCCTTGTTTTTTCGTCCGAGCTGGTCGAGATCGCGATGCAAACGCGCCTCATTTTTTCGCACGTGGTCCGAGTCGGATCTGTTTTGGGAGATGCGCATCGACGAGACGGTCGAAGACGATGCCGACGACGAGTTACCTCCCTTTCCACCTTGCTGGTCCAAGACGGGTCGCGGAGGAGTCTGCTGATGTGAGGCCTGCTTCGTGGGTCGTCGCTGGTGCTTCCTCGCCACCTGCATCGTACCCGGCCGCCTACCTTCTCCCAACCCCCCGACACCCGCCCTGCTACCGACACCGTCGCGCGAAGACCCAATCCTCTCCGCTGCCAACAGGGCTCCCGGAAAGGTCTGAATACCATCAGAGTTTCCGCCCGGCCTTGCTCCCGCGGTGGGGCCATCCAAAAGAGGCTGCTCCTTACCCTTCGCTTTCGACATCGGCCCTTTGTCCAGCGCCTTCACCTCGTTCCTCGACGAATGGCCCGGCCGGGAATCGGGCGAAGCGCGCCCACTCCGTGCCGCTGACGAACGTGGCCGCGGAGCATCCAGAACCTCCGTGATTTCCACGGCACGTCCGCCGGAGGTATACGGCCTCTCTTCGGCCCCACCCCCGAGGGACAGCCTTGATCTTTTTCTTCCCGACAAGGATGAGCAGAACGATTTCGACGTCGAAGAGTGAACAGAGGCGAGTCGAGCCGCTTGGTGGGGATCAGTGGGTGCAGAGTCGACGGCAGCGACGGCGACTCTTGGAATAAGGTGGTTCGAGGGTGTCGATGACGTCTGCTCGGAGGGCGGGGGTGGCGATGGCGGGGCGGCGTAATCCCGGCGACCGGTATCGTTGATGGGGGCACGGGGTGACAAAGTAGCACTGCTGTTTCTGCCACTCCCCCCGTGCCTACCACTGCCGCAGCTGTCGCTTGACCTGCTGCGGTCTCTTCGGATTCTCCTGCGTTCTCCCGAGGGAAGGCCTTGTCCATGGTGGGGTCCATGAGGAGAAGCGCGGTGGCGTGAGTCAAAGCCGGGGAGGACTTCGTCGTCACGTGCGGTCGCACCTTTGCATTCCTCTTCCAGCGGGCTACTCTCGACCCTTCCGGAACCGCGCGTCTCTCCGCCCTCTCCACCCGTGTGGCCGCCTTTGCCACCAGCACGGGGGGCCGCCTCGACCATTCCCGACCCTTGCCGAATCGTGTGGGTTGCTTTGGCCGCCTCCGTTGCCAGACGCCACCCCTTTACACCTTGGCCCACGGCCTCCGCGTGATTTCGCGTTGACGCCGCTGTCACCGCAGGCGGCGGTTCGTGGTCTTCACCGGGAGCCGTACTCCGCGGCGTCACGACCTCGTCGGTATCGCTGTTCTCGCTTCGTCGCCGTCGCCGTCGGTGCGTGCTGGCGTTGCTACCGCGGCTGGGGGCGATAGTCTCAGCCGGGCGACGGCGCGGGTTGGGAACGACGATGCTCTGGATGCCACCTTCGAGTTGCACTGACGATGATGCTGCTTCTTGGGGCCTCCGATCAACCGCCGCCGGCCTCTTGCTGTTGTTGCTGTTGCCGGAGGCGGCTGAGTTGGGGTTGATGTCATCAAGCAATTCGCGCTCCACGGTAGCCTTGAGCTTGCGGTTCCGCTCCGCCAGCGCCTCGATCTGTTTCCGTACCTCAAGGTTCCGCGCATCAAGTCTGGCGTTTCGTGCGAGAAGGTCCGCTTTCTCGTCCCTGAGGCGCGATGATTCGCGAGCAAGCCGCTCGTTCTCGCGCTTGGCGTCACCGACAACGCGGGCCAGCCTCTTGTTTTCCTTCTTCAGCACTTGCATGTGGCTGCTTGCGACGAGAGCAAAAATACCACGCACAAGCGGAGGTCATCGCATTGGCTTGGTTTTCCGGCGGTACTATGGCGTGTTGTAGTAACAGAGACCGTTCGGACATGATGAGAGGGTCGGCCTTCCTGTCTCGCTGTTGTTTTCGCACGGTATCGTACAAATGCAGATCATTGCGCATTGCACATGTCCTATAGTTCATAGAGGACGTCACCATTTGCGGCATATAAGCCCTAGGATTTGCACCAAAGTCTGCGCAAAAGTAATGTTGTACTGCCTCGAGATGGTGACGCCAAGGCCGGCACATATGCAGAGGCATATACGTTTCCAATTGTTTTGATCCCAATGCACGCACCATGTGTACAACACGAGTATTCGATTTGCGCTCAACCTTGTGTAGCCGCGTAGAGCTTGCGCCCGTTGTACACATGCAAGACCATCCGTTCCCATCAACACTCTCTATCCGGAACCTGCTGCGCGCGTTGATACACATGTATTCCGGAGGTTCGCAGGATAGAAGACGTACCTCTCCTTGTAGCCGTTCCCATCAACACTCTCTATCCGGAACCTGCTGCGCGCGTTGATACACATGTATTCCGGAGGTTCGCAGGATAGAAGACGTACCTCTCCTTGTAGCCCAGGCTGGCTTCCAGCGCCGCCCGTTCCTTGGCCCATTTCTCTCTCTCCGAGTGCCAACTGCGAAACGCAGTTAAGCATTGATTTGCACATGGCGCATACAATGGCCAAATGAAAGCGTCAAACAGGCGTGTATGTTTATTGATTCCCAGCGCTTCTCTGCGCGTGCGCCACTAACGGTCAGGCATATGCAAAGAGAATGCCGCGAGATCGCTATCTTCGTTAACACGGCATCAGTTACGGCGGTTGTGATGCAAGGCGGCTCACGGCATGTGTGAGATCCTGTCAGCGGGGGGGAAGGCTGCGCAAATAACGTAAGCAAGAGAAACCATACTAGTGCAAATGAGCTACTCACCCATCGCTATCCTTCTCCAGTGCATAGGCCAGGTCGCGGATTGCTTTTTGAGACGCCGACAGCAGCAGGTGCCCCCCTTCTCCTCCTCCTCCTCCGCCTTGCTCGTGTTGTGGTTGCTGCTGATCTCTGCCTTGGTTCTCGCCGACTCCGTTCAAACCATTGATATTTTGCAAAGCACTCATCTTTGAGGCGGCGACCAAATATGGCGAGGATTGGGAATACTATTCACGACCATGAGTTGAACAACGTTTCGACGCCATCTGCGGTCGGCCAACCCCTCTCTGCTATTTCTTGCTGTTGGCGTGTTGGCAGCGGAACCTGAGAGAGGGCGGCAGCCGTTGTTGTTTTGAATTGCAGGCACGCACGCAGAACAGGTCGCCCGAGGACTGACCGCTCAATTTCCAGCCTTCGTGCCTCCACCAAGTAGCAAAGCTTCCTCGCTTCACACACTCGCGTGCCGCTTCAAGCGAGCGCGTCGAGTGATGACGAGACGGACAGAGAGACAAAGAACACCAGGACCCAGCACACAGAACTACGAATTCGTCCCCGGGGGGTACACAAATGGAACAGTACGGGACCTACGTATGGAGTTCCAGAGTAACTCTGGATGTTCGGCGGTTTCATCGTGTATTCTTTTTTCACTCGAACAATCCGCCAACCGACTACACACATGGTATGTAGTGCGCACATGCGCACGGAAATTGCTTGCCATATCAGAATACCTCTGCCGTACGCTACAGTAATCTACGTCTCTCTCCCATGTCCGAAAGCCCTGCCTCGTGGGTCCGGCACGATGACACGTATGTGCATGATGGTGTCTCAGCAAGGAGCGACTGGTCGAACGATGTCGTCGGTGCTACGGAGGAAAACAACTACTACAACGCGCAAGACCAAAGTGAGTCACCAGAGGCAACCGAATTTCAAAAATATTGTAGCGCTCACAAGCGCAATGCCAACAAGTTCGTCGAATGCTCCGACCGGGGGGCAAGGTTGTATGATCATTGATCGGTAGCTCTGCGTGCCCAAAGTTCTTTGGAGATACTGCTGTTTACACATAGACTTGTACAGTACTCGAAGCATCTTATGCTAGACTTTGTGTTGATTGTGGTGGCTGTTATCCATATCCGTGAACCAAAATCGAGGGATGGCTCCTTGGCATACGTACGAAAACATAGATGCTGGCACACATGCTTCTCTGGCTCACAAGGATTGATTGTTTTCTTTCTGTGCAGAAATAGATGGGGACGATAAGTGCCCACAGAAAATTGCCTGCACCGATCAACACCGATTGACCTTTTGTTCGAGGCAGCAGACTCCGATTTTACGACTTTACCACCCTTTTACTTCGCCCAACTTTGTGATCGATCCTCTAGAGACGTAAGATAGGGGAGTCTATATGCGACGGCCAGTATTCTGCTCCAGTGAGAGCGAAGGTTTTCGCAGCTACTGTATCCGCTGACCCCCCATATCGCCGCTCGATGTGTTTTTTTGCTTTGTTCTTCGTATTGCGCCATACAGCGACGTGGGAGAATGGCGCTCATTCCTATGGCTATGATACAGGGGCGGCCTACAGTGCCCAGGATGGGAACAGCACCTGGCTAGAGAGTCCTTCGGTGAGTCGCCAGCATCGCAAACGAACGGAGCTAGTCGGCACGTGTTGAAATGTTGGTACTGCTCTTGGCCGCGTGGCTAAACCGCGCGGGCAACATAATGTAGGGGCAAAACGGTGCAGACGTAACATGATGACGATACGCACATGAAACACGGCATGTGTCTAGCTGGCTATAAGCTTGTCGAAACGTTTGTTGAACGCTCAGAATCTGCCTGCTCTCACAGGTCGGTTGAGTCACCTCCTACGACCTTCGGTTTGTTCTTTGGGGACAGCAGTAGTGGGGCCTTCATTGGTAGGCGCTAGAGCCGTAGTCTACCACCCGTGATTATATATTTTGGTCCACTGATTATTTGAGGTTTGATGAAGGGAACCACATGCTAGTTTCGAGTCTATTAAGAGCACGTCTGCTGCTGATGCCAACGGGTGCTCTCACTCACACCTCGTACAAGGACTTCCAGGTTATCATGGCCTAAGGTTGAGCAGTATGGTCGAACAAAGTACAACGCTCCTGCGTACGACAAGATTGTCTGCTCGCGTCCTAGCATGAAATACGAGAGCGTGTTTGGGGTTTTCGGCCAACGCACGATCCTCATGGGTACCACAAGGTAGTTTGGTATCCCATTGTTGACGTTGGTAAGCCACCCCATCAATTAACGGCGACACTTACGATCAGGATATGGACTGGGAACAGCAAGTCGCTAATAATGTGGAGGCCACACCTGACGAGTGGCAGTGGGTCCAAAATTCTTCTACCGAGGGGTACTTCTACAACTCTGTTACGGTGAGATAGAAGCTACCAGTACAAGATTGGATCAAGGGGCAACCCGAATATCATACTTAGATTGTGTGTATAGACATTGGTGGTAATTTTCACATTTTTTTCTCCGGTTGAGACACCCGCGCGGGTGGCATCACATGCATGCCAGCACTCTTTTTCTGTGTCGGTGACCACGTGCCAACGTGACAGGGTGCGGAAATCATCTCACTGTTACCAACAGAGACAAATGAGTCGTGCGGAACAACGCGTTCCCAAACGTCAGGCACCAATGCGCGCAGCATCAACGTGCGTCTCTGGCGTCCAGAGGCAAGGTTCCTCGTCTACCTGCGTCGAAACGCTCGTACGTAGCAGAAATCACGTAAGGCCACTTTAGGGAACCACAAGGTACCATCGCCAATGATATTCCTCTTAGACGATATAGCCGATGAGGTGGGCCTCTACTGTGAGCCAAGGGCCAGGGCGGGGCGGTAGGAGCACACTTTCCTCAGACAACCTGCGTGCGCTTGGTATTCTGGTCAGGGAGAAGCACGCTGGGACGACCCGGCAGCTTTTGAAGAGGCCAATAGCCATGAGTTGGTCGAACGCGGATACAACGATGCCTTAGCGACGGAAGGGGTTCCCATCGGGGAAACACTGACGGAATACTACGGTAAGTGACGTGCACGCCACCAGCTTTGTCCGAAGCACAAGTATCGGCGACATGCCACAGGTACAAGTGTGTTTGGTCATGGTGGCTGTTCCCGTGGCTTTTGGAACGCCATAGGTGTATACCAAATTCTACCACAAACGTAGCGGGCGACACGCAACTACGCCGGCCGTATCACTTAGAGCGTGTCCACGGCATCTCTCTCGACAGGCCAAGGAAGGTACACCTTCACCGCAGAGGACGGTACAGTGTGGAGCTACGACGAGGCCCTCGGAGACTACGTTCAACATCACGATGACCAGGTGACCAGGTGCAAGCTGCCACTTTCCGCCCCCAGCCACACTCCGGAGTTGAAGTCGGGAATCTCACCGGCAATGGTTGTGCTGCTTCGCCTGCTAGTCTCTTGTGGCGAACACAACGGGCGGTGCTTCACCCCATCGATATGAAGTAGATTCGTCCTATGTGGGACACGAACTGACTTCTGGTACACACACAACACGGTGCAGGACAAAAACACGAAAGAAACATGTGGTGCCGAAACATTTTTAATTTCGCTGAGAAAGTCACCCGTCACGCTAACGATGGCGTGTAGCTGACTATGTATCAAAGGTTCCACAAGTGCAGAGAAGCGAGCTTGTGTTTGTCCCATCAGTTCTATTCAACTAAATCCCGCCCATCTCTCGCTCTGTGTGTAGACATTAAGTAGCCTCTTGAGCAAGCGAACTGACTCTTGGCGGTGAATGGCGCGTTTTCTGCTTCTGCCACTTTTTTTACGCTTGTAGCATTGCATGCCCTCAACCACCACGTCGCAAGAACTCGCTTAATTTTCCCGCATTTGTCAATTTCTGTGCCTGTCTACCCTTTTGTTCTTCCGTCCTTCGGCCTCCTCCTTCCCACCACTCTCTTTTTCGCCGCTTCGCTTTGTCGCTACGTGAATTGTCCTTGGGGTCGTGTGATCGAAAAAAGACTGCTGGAGACGCCGGCGGCGAACTGTTCCGACTCAATCCGGTCGCCGGATCCCCCTGGCAACGCGTTGAGAGTGCCGACGGCCCCTACTACTACAACCTTCTCACAGAGGTTGAGCTTGCGTGGCAACGAGACAATGCTGTAGACTCTCCCATGCAAGGGGGACGTTGTGATGTTATGTCTTCATTGGGCGAATTCACACAGGAGAATATCCCTGGTCACTTTCGTGTCGACGAAACGTGACATTGATCCTCTCGTGCAAGTACAAAGGTTGTTTGTACTTTTTCACGACAAATTGTTCCAATCTTATCGACATGCTATCAAGGCCAAGCCCCCCCCCCTCTGCACGACAAAATGAACGCCACAGCAACGGTCAGCGTACTGGGTGTGCTTGGTCTAGTTTTAAGCCGTGCGAGCAACTCAATGATTCGACAGTGTGCAATACTTCTGCGTCTAGCCCCAACCGCGTCATTCGCGTCTCTCTCGATCTTCCGGATGCATACCGTCGTGTGAGGAATGCGTAAATATATCAACGAGTTCAAGGCCTCTTGCTGCTGCTGTGTCAAAGCTCCGCCTCACACTATGCCTCTTCTCCCTCGCTCTTCATGCCCATAACCTTTATGTGCGTTTGGCACAGGAAAGTTCGTGGGAACCACCTCCAGAATGGCAGGAGAACCCGGTTGCTGAGGATTACTATTCCTCGACGTATGAGAACGGCGTGCCCGACAACGACGGGGGTGTCGCGGAGTTGCAACAGCCGGGAAGGCCTGCTATCACCGGCGACGAGAGCAACGAGGAGGGTGGAACTCTGCACTATGCGCCGCCGCAGGAGACGGCACTTGAACCAGTCCCAACCGGCGGCGCCGGCTCCGCGAGTATCGCACAACCTGAAGGAAGAAAAGGATACGATGAAAATGACGGTGCCGCCTCCACCGGGATACGATCGGAGCGGAGCTCACAACCACAGGAAAATGATACCCATGGCGACATGGCCAGCGCTGGGCCTAGAAGCAGCGGGCCTAGAAGCAGCGGTGACAACAGTTCTCTCGACCAAACGTCTGCCGACGAGTTCAGCCAGTGGTCCCTTGCGAAGCTTCGGGGGGTTTCTAAGGTGGAGAACGGGCTCTCGTAGTATGTCATGTGGTGTTAGTGAATTTCGTATCGGAGGCGTGATTGGCGGCTGCATGACGATACCGGGGGCGCAGAGCGGTAGGTGGTTGACGAGGGTAGAAGGCGCTCGCTACCTTACGAAGGATAGCGACGTGACTAGACCTCGGGCAAGCTTTACTCGGGGCACAGATTGCTTATAACCTTGTATTGCAAGTGTATGTCTCAGGCTAATGTTGTTTGCCACGCGCGTGCCACCATTTTGCCCCGAGTAACCGGTTTGTTTAGAAACGAGGACCACTAGGTAAGTCTCGACCTAGCTTCTGCCGGCCGTCGACGACGTCCGTGTTGATATTTCAAGTTTTGTTGCGCGTCAGGTACTCTGTACCGGTACACGTTGAAGGGTTGTCGACTAAACTCTTCGTGCTGCCCGCTTTGACGTTTCTACGCTGGGGCACGACGCTCACCCGGCCCATCAGATGCTCCCAGGGAAATGGCCCGTGAGCGATTTCTTGGTCGACCGCGCGACGGAGGACTACGACATGATGCTAACGCTGAACGCGTCTGAGATCGAAGCCTTCAAGAACAAGGTCATCACATCTTTGTGTTGCTTTGTGTATGCAGGACGAATATGTTGATGGTGGAAATGCCATGATCCTTACAGTGGCTGTGGTAGTGTACGCAGCACGTGTGCTAGACTATTTCCACCAGCACCGCCGCACAAACTTTGATCGCTCACCGAAGAGGGTTTATCTCACGATTTCCCACATGAGTCATACGGTACTCACGGGAAAAAGGACCTTTCACAGCTCAGCGCTTCCCTGTGTTGAATTGGTTTTCCATTTTCTCGTAGAAACTGGGGCAAGATTCATGCGTGTTCCACAGTACAACGCACAACGCCAGTAGAGCTGTTCGGCCACACAAGTATTCGCGGTCGTTCCTGCCCCCGCGCACCCGCCGGCCTCACGCCGCTGTACGTGGCTGCATACCCTCCTCGTTTCGCATGCCCCCCTTCGATGCCCATGCTGCTCTTGCTCCCGCTCCCGCTCCTGCTTGCGTGGTGCAATGGCCAAAATATCCTGGAATTGCGAATATACCAGGGCACATCCCAAATCATCCGCTCGCTTGTCGGACCCGAGGATGGGGAGGACGACGACCAAGATGACTTGTCTCTATCCAGCGACTCCTGTGAGACGGCAGACGACCCTTACCAAGAGGACCAGCTGTCCGCGTCGGTGACGGCCGGCCACGTTGAGGTAGGTCAGGCTAGTGCTAGGGTCAGGGCTAGGGTTAGAGTGTACGTTGATGTGTCGCACACTCGTGCCGGTCGGGCATCGAGATGTGGCTATGAGGTTGCGGAAACCCGTAAACTTATCCGGATGCAGAATCAGATGAATTGCAGACGAGCAATGCCCGTGCGGTACGACGATGATGTCCTCGTACCAAAGGGCTAGAACGTTCACCACAAGATATGCAGCCGTGCCTCTCTCATAGCATAGCATGCACCGTCACATTGCCAATATGCTGCTACAACTCGATGCCGCTCTTTTCCCCTTCACCTGTCAACCCTCGAGTGTGCCCCCTGTCCTCCTCCACTCCTTGCGACCCCCGCGAATTGTTCTGCTAGTACCCAACTGCGCAAGGATTCCTCGGAAAGTCCAGCGGAGGCATTACGACCGCAGGGACAACATCGGTGACGTCATTCCCGGGGTCTTCTCCAGGTGACGCGGGCGATGGGGTTGTGGCGAATGGCGGGAAGAAGAAAGCCGCTGCTAGTGTCACGGGAAGCGAAAGCGTCGGCAAGAATCGAGAGATTTCCCCAACGAGGCGGCCCGTTGAAGGCAAAGGGCTCAGGCCCGGGCGGCGTGGGTCTTTGCTGGGGCTGGACCGCGCGAAAGTCGACAACGAGGGCAAGGGGCTCGGTGGCTGGAAGGTATGTGGTAGTGGTTGCCCGGGACACGTATTTCCCGTGGCAATGGTGCCCCATGACGCTACGTTTCAGGGTGGGCTTGGTTCCGCCGTCGTCGGTATACTAGCTATTTTGGTGGGAGCTTTCGCACCTAGAGAAGCTCTTTTGGGGAGCGCGACGGCGGCTGCTTTACCTGTCGAATTTCCCGCCCGACCCCGCCGCATCCCTCAAATAAGTATCTGTGCTGACGCTCACCGCAAGCTTTCTTTTTGCCATGCCGTGTGTGCGACCTTCCAATACGATTCAAGCCGGGTTTTGCCGAGGACGGCAGCTTGTACTTCATCAACCAGGAGACAGGGGAAGTCAGGTGGACGTTTCCGGTAAGACAGGGCGGAGGATTGGTTGTAGTGGCCGAGAGGGAGGACGGAGAAGGGGTACGTACATTCTTACCCCAATTTCGCTCTGCCATGCACGCCAAGTACTCTGGTAGAGTGGTGTTCGCGCATGTTTCTCCAAGGGAGGGCGAGATGATTGGCAATGGTGTCGGGTTTAGCCCGGAGACGTGTTTTAGTTGCAGAATATTTCAGGACGGCCGGTGGGAGGCGACGGAAGGGGAGGCGGTTGGTAGATGTCGCATATTGCAGTAATTGTGTCGGGGTTCGCCTGGAAACGTGTTTCAGTTGCAGAATGTTTCAGGACGGCCGGTGGGAGGCGATGGAAAAGGAGGCGGTTGTGGGTCTCATATTGCAGGGCAGACTGGTGTCTTCGTCGGTTGAATTAGGCCAGAGAAACGCGCGGTGAGAAAAACAGTAAAAGGGGGAGGCACGGGGGGAGGGCACACTCGAGAGGCAGAGTATTCGAGGCGATTTCTCGGACGCGATTGCGTAGAAAGGTTGCACCATCGGGTGATTCGACGTCGGGGTTGTGTAGGGGGGCTTCTTGCCTTGTCAACACCCTTGAAACAAACCTGCCCATGTTTCCTACGGAGAACTAGGAGGTGAGAAGAGGCCGTAAGAAGAGCTTCGTACCTCAACAAGAAAAGGTCAACATGGACAAAACCTTGAAGGGTCGCGGTCACCTGACCCGCCATTGTGCAAACTGCTGACCTTGTTGTGCGGTAGGTGCGGGCGTGGGAGGTGAGGGTCAGACAGCTGGCCTTGCTCACTCCACGCGCTCCGTTGGAGGTAGGGAGGGGTGTCTGCCGCCTGCGAGAGACTTCAGAGATGAAGAAGAAACGCCTAGCGCACCGGTGAGATCCGCGAAAGTAAACGCCAGGAGCTTGCCTGTGGGACGAACGAAGCGGGCTCACTTTCCCGCTACGGCCCATGCCCCAGTCGGTGTGAATTTGGTTGGTGTGTTCATTGCTACCAGCGTATGATTCTTGGTTGGCTTCGGCAGCTTATCGAAATGGGTTGCCATAGGGCTGGAGACAAAGAAAGCCGAAGGCGTGTAAATGCTCAGCGTGCGATGGGATGGATTGTTCTATCGGGAGGGGTACGACAACATCGAGTTGGCCTAAACATTTCTTGTCAATACCTCTCTCGGGCGGTGACGTCCTTCAATGCAACGCGATGTCGTACGCAGTGCGCAGTACGACGGTGGAGGATGCTACCCTCCGGAGCATTTACTTCCCCCAAAACGTATCGCCTGGAGACAGCAATAATTTTCTAGCCGAAAGGAACACTCATTGTTGCAGCATACCTTCACGTACGTATCAAGTCTCCTGTCACCGACCCCGGAACTGTGGTTTGGCACCCACTGCATGAATATTTTCCCAAATAAACCGTACAGATGGAAGGTGGAACAGATTCTGGCACAGGAGGCCCTTCGTCGAGAGGAAGATCCTACCCCCGCCGAGGCGGCGCAGGATGCCATGGAGAGCATTATCACCGCGATCGAGGTATGTATGCGATGCTGAAAAGCCACACCCAAACCGAATGGAGTAGGAACGCGTTCGCGTTGAATGGAGGCAAAACTAGCGTTCTCGTACACGCGCTTGTGTCAAGCATCGCTGCATCAGCTGACGCCAATCCGCATCTATTCTCACCTGTCCACGACAATCAGTAGGCTTTCTCGCCTCTACTGAATACGTCTGGCTATGATAACCCCAGGGTATAGCCTCGTTTCCGTAGGGAGCGTTAACCCGTATGAACGCTGCGAATCCCCGTTCAGCTTCAACGGGTGCAATGCTCGAACCATGCCACTCTTTCCACCACAAGAGAAACATTTCAAACTGTAAGGCTGCGTAGTGGAAGCTCGTGTAGCATCAATCTCCATCACATCTGGAGGCTTCCCACCCCCTTGCACGCAACACGTCACCTCTGAGTGACATTGTCGAACGCACACCGAAACCTGACAACCTTTATAAGACAGAGACGGGAGGATAAAAAGCGGCGGCGTCGGGAGCACAACATCCGCGCGTTGGAGCGGGCGCGGTGGCACCCTTCAACTTCGGGTTACCTGATGCAGAGGCTCGCGGTTTCAGCATCGACAACGGTTATTGCCACTGCGCGGTAAGCGTTGAATGCTTACCTGTATATGTTCCGGGGTGTATGGACGACGAAAGGTAATCCCTACAAACACTCGCCGGGACCCCACCGAAGTTTCGACCACAACTAACCGGAGGGTGTCGTAGCTTCCACCCTGTGAAACCGCATCACTGGTGATGAGGTTGATTCTCACGTTGGAGACGAGCGTGAGTTGGGGGGGGCAAGTGGCACCCAGTGACAGCAAGCAGCACAAGACTAGATCTGATTTACCTTTTTCAACCTTCGTGATCTACTGACGGGCTGGCGCATCACTACTTCAGAGCGAACGAACTGGAGGAAGGACCTGAAGGGAAGATGATACTCACGGACGCGGATTTTCTGGACATTAATCTAACGCAGGTAGGCAGGACAAAGAACAGACGGCAGACAACGGATGTGAGGTACCCGTTGTGCAACGTCTAGGCGCCAAAATAAGAGGCCATGAACAAACGTTTCACCAATACGATCAATGGCATTGGTCGCGGTTGTCTTCGAGCGACGTCGTCGGCAGGGATAACAATAATTCCACACGTTGAAACAAGGGTTAGGGTTTGGTCTTGTTTACCTTGCGCTGAGCACTTATGAGCACCACCCAGAACACCAATTGCTCAACCAACACTGCCGTACGGATGCACACTAAGCACGGTATGAGTGCCATGTGTCGTGGAATCGGGAAGCGATAGTTTTGGCGTTCAATAGGACGGTAGTGTTTCGCAGCAATTCATCTTGTATTGGCAGCGACATTACACACACTTGCCTTCTTACCTCACGTAGTAGGCTTCTCTCCTAAACAACAGCATCATGAGCAGTTGCGATAGGTTTTGATTCACCAGATCTCGCGTGAAGCATCTCTACCACGACACCCCTGTGTAACAAACAGCTGAAACGACACGTACATATATCCCTAGAGACCGAGACCTGCCAACAATGCCTCTGTCACAAATATTGTGTCCTTACACCCACCCCCGTTGCCCAACGATACCCCAAATGATCGCCCAACAGCTACAGCACCAGAAATTCTTGCTTGATCTGCCCGGCATCCCTTATGACACTTTCAGCGGACAACTTGGCCGCGTGTGTGCATCCTATTGATTCACCCAGACCCTCACGAAACTTTCGCGTTTCTCAGGGCGGGAGTATGACCGCTCGAGGCCAACGTGTTGTCCAAGATCCGCCGGCAACAATCACGGCAACACCATCAAATCGTAGACGCGAGGCAAGGAAAGCGTACCGATCGAAGAGAATAATGACACGCAAGAGGTTGTGCCCGAACGTAAAATGCTGTCGGAAGAGGAGTGGGGCATGAATCACTCCACGGCAAACGTTGCAAATTTGTACATAAACATCTTGGTCACTGATCCCCCCCTCAGCGTCATCTGGTTTTGAAGCACCCCGCTGAAAAGGTACAACCCCAAAAGGTTTAGGCTTATAAACCAACAACATGTGTTGAAACTTCAATACGCTTCCCACAGCACACATTTTCCGTATGCTAAAGCATCTGAGACAACCACTTTTGTCTCGCACGCCCCTCTGGCTAAACCATTTCGGGCCATGTTTAGGGAAGGGGCCTCGCGACCGCGCTACACTTTAGCCTGCCCGCCAGGCTTCTACAGCCGCGCACGAAGTGGGCGGGGTTACTGGCCGCCCCGGACCTTCCGACCCCACCTTCTCTTCGAGCGCTGGCCGGAGTTCGGTCGCTGGGCGATCTCAAGCGCGAACTGACAGCCCTCGGAACAGCCGCTCGCGCCGCCACGGCCACACCAGCGAATCAGGAGCAGGCGATGGCCACAGAAGGCGGTGGTACTATTGGCGGGAATGCCCTCTCGTCCATGAAGGCTCGGGCATGGAAAAGAAAGATAAAGGCTACCGCAGCCGAACCAGCAGACACAGCCAGCAAGGATGAGGAAGCTTTGGTTGATGGAGACACGCCGGTGCCCGCAACAGCAGTGGCAGTGCGCACGCAAAATGACGAAACTTCGACAGCACTAGGACGGCCAGACGGCGTCGCTCCCGCCGCCGCACCGCCACTCGCCGACTCCCCTCCCACGAGAAACGCCGAGCCTCCCGCTGAGCACGATGGGGCGACCGCGGCCACCGGGAAGAGATCAAGGGACGACCACAACAAACCCAGCAACGACGGCGGCGACAGCGGCAGCAGCAGCAGCAGCGCGAAGGGCTCTTTCGCCACAACGAAATCACCGTCGGGAGTGACAACAGCTGTCAGACCGGCGAGTGTACCTAACGGCGGGGTCAAGGATTCCAAGGGGCAAGCCGGGACGGGGAACGAAGAGGAGGAATCTCGACAACAGTCCGAAAAGGGCCCGCCAAGCCCTCGCGTGCTGACGGCCGTTGCGCCCCTCGACGAGCAAGTGCGGGGATTTGGGGTGAGAACAGGCTCATTCCACAGAATCTCAGGAACATGTGCGTGGCAAAACACTCAAGCTTATCTGCCGGAATTCCCAATGAAGCACGTACCCGGCCTCACCACGCTCTGGTTCAGGCACTACGACAGTGTTCCTGAAAGTGGACATTACCAACGAAGTCTATCAGTATAATTTTCTACTGCGATTGCACTGAATATGAGGTTTGTGATGAACTTGCACCTTGTTGGGCGACCAAGTCGACGGACGGTGTTACCCTTTTCGTCATACACCATTCAGAGGTGTATACAATGCCAACAGAGAACACCCGGCATCAAGAAGCTCCAAGCCGCGACCTGACGCGTCGTTTTATCTGAATAGGCCAAGCTAGCGCTCAAGATCGAGATTGGAGATCTTGACCCAAAGCGCGCGGGCGATGCCGTGGCAGCGATGGCGAAAAAGAGGTTGGTTGCGGCGGGGAAGGCCATGGGCCTTCCAAACAAGGTCGCCACTACGACAAAGGTAACCGTTTGTAAACTGCTACCAGGACGCATTGATTGGGTGCCTCCTCCATGGGGGATCCGGCTGGGTTCTCGAATGGAATTCCCTGCAGACCAAGGATATGTTATCCCAGAGAAGGCAAAAAAGGGGGAGCAAGGTGGTACCAAGGACCCCCAGATACAAAGCTGCGAGGGCTTGCGTTGGAAGTAGTATGCTCGGGGGGGGCGTTAACTTTGGTTTTCGCTATCCCACGGCCCTTTTGAACTTTGAAACTAGTCAAATGATTCGCACAGACGGAAAGCGCCATTGACGGCACAAGCGAGTCTCCTCTTTGGTGATTCTGCTTCCATTCTTGGTTCCCTCCGGAAACAGTTCTTGGGTTAACGCCCATCGTGTTTATTGACGGCTATCGAGGGTTGGGTCCATCACCCACACTTTTCAAAATTTCTCGTCGCGTGCATACCGTTCTCTTCCAAACTCGGTAGGTGGTCCATTCTGTACCACCCCTCACGTTTTGCACTACCCCTCACGTTTTCGTCGGCACCAGCATCGTCGCACTGCATCCCTACCCCGACTTTACGTAGCTGCTACTGATCAAAGACTTATCCGTTGCCTTCGCCCACACACCCTTTTTGGCACTAGGTGCCTGAGAAGCCCGGCAGAGTGCTCACGCCGCAGCCGCCACCGCCAGACGTGTCTACCATAACTATTGAGTTAGCCTGCACGCCGCCTCCGTTCAACCTTTTGACCACGGTCAAAGTGGAGGTAAGAGACAAATTTCTGCTTGAGAGGTGAACACTTGCGGAGAATTATCCCCGAAACAGCACGTCGGCAGGGAATGCCAGAAATGCTACCATGTTTCCGGTTTGTAGGTGTCCGGGATGAGTGCGATGAGGCTCATCGATCTGTCTGCCTGTCCTCGCTGCTGAATGCCCTTAAAGGACCCGGCCACCGGCAAGAAATGCGACCGCGAGGAGTTGACCTCGGTGCTACGAGACGCCTGGGAGGGCATGCTCGTGCGGGATATCGCCATGGCGGGAGGAGTCGACCCTCGGCAGGTAAAAAGTAGAGCGTATTTAAAGGAAATGCACAAGCGTTGGCATTTACTCACGGTACCGTCGGCACGGCATGGCTTCCAGGATTTTGTCAATTGGGCCGCAGCAAACCTTTCTTTGGTAAAACTGCGCGTGTCAGACACGCAATGGGAAGGCTGTCCATGTTCTCGGGCATTGGGAGCTTCGAAAGAGCAACGCGACGCGCTGTTCAGCTCAGAGAACATCCGGCCTGTGTCTCACGTACGGTCTGGAAAGAACTGCGAAAACATGCAAAATAATGTCATCGCTGTTGCGCAGTTGACGTTTTCGCGTGCAGTAGAAGGTACGGACCTCTCCTCCTATATCCAGCGCCTTGGGTGCCTATTGAACTGTTCCGTTGAATTTCCGATGTACATTGATTCTCCAGCTTTTGACGACGCCCCGCTAGCAGCAGCGGAGAGGGTTCATCCATCGGTTATTGAAACCTTCAAAACGGTCTTGCCGTGCCAAGATTTTCAGTTGCCTCACGTTGCACCTCTCGGGTAAATCTTAATATTTGTCAAAGCCCGACGCTATTATTAACCAAACGGCCATAGCTCGCAGGGGGTAGATCTCCCCCTGCACTAAAAGTGCCCGTAATGGACTGTCGTTTCCGCGAAGACGTACAAACCGCACAACATGGCCCAGCGTATCACAAATGACAACGCTTAGCTCGGGGCCACATGAGCCGATTTAATGAAGACTCAGCCCTCAAATTGGAAACCATTGGGAGCTCTCAACTGTTTGAAAGTACCTCTTCAGGCGTTTTTTCTGAAACTGACGGTAAGTTCCGAACAAGACGACCGTGGTTCATCCCTACGTTGTCCGTCTCCGCTTGTCAGGTTATAGTTGAGGAAGTCCGTCGCCGGCGGGTAAGCAAAGTTAACGCGTCGGCAGACGCATCGCCCTTTCGGCCCGAGCGACGAGACGAGACTTTCCGCCGTTATGCTGGAACAGAGCACGCGGTGGCGGGGATGGCAACAACAACAACAAGCCCTGCCCCCGCTCGGGCTGAGGGACTTGTCGCGCCCTGTCCTACTTCAGGACAGCGGCAGGAGGAACAGCTTGGAAGCGGAACCGAACGGCTGCTGGCACCGGCGAGTGATTCTCTCCCACAGGCGGGTCTACGTGCAACCATGACCAGGCGCTTGCGTCCTCCTGTTGCGAAGAAACGAAGGCTGGGCAGGGGCTGGGCTGGCCGTGGCGGCAGCGGCGTTGGCGATGACGGCAGAGAGCAAGCCAGCCTCCTCGATGATCTCAACGGGGAACTCTCGCGCGCTTCGCCGCAACTTGGCGAAGTAGATCGGCGCGCGTTCACGGCTCCGAGCCTGGACTCCCCCTCCTTAGGGGTAGATGAGGTGGTGGGGGCATCGGGGACACCGCGAGAGCCGGTGGCGGGGTCGTCCGGGCCACAAAAGGTGCTGCTGCCGCGCATTGCTAATAGCAGCAACGGGTTTTCGTCGGACGGCGCGTGGAACTCCCCGAGGGAGGGGGCAGGGGACGCGGCGTTTCGCAGGAGAGGCACCGTTGTCAACGGCTCAGCCCCTTGGAAAGGGATGAATTTTGCAGATATGAACGTGGCGGATGACCATGTGAGTCGGCGTCCAAAGGCGGACGCGCCAATATTTTGCTGGTTCCACACGCAGAAGAGGGAGAGGTGAATATTGTTGTGTGCATCCAAAGGATATATCCCGCGCCGCCACCTAGATCCCTACCGAGGTTGTATTTTCAGTAACCTTCGCAGGGTTCTTATATTCAAGAAACACGTTGGATAAAGCATACAATCGGGGAAGTTGGGTTAGGGTGAGGTAGGGTCTGCGTACCCCCTCCCTTTTCTATTTCCTTATAATACTGAATTTCTCGCGAAGACGGTCCTCTATTTTCTTCCTTTCTGTAGCAAACCTGTACCTGGAACACATCATCTCCCGTGCTTGACACCTCTACAAGTATCTATTGTGTGCGACGGAAAGGCTTCTCCGCACCAGGTGAACACCGCAAACGTAGCGTGGGTTTGGGTCTATTAGTCACGACCTTTGACACGGCTATCAGAGCAACACCCGAGTCTGTTATCGTTTCGAGAAAACAAGAACACAGCGTCTTAAACCCCACCCATGAACGGTTCAAGCTCAACTCTAGAGTAGACCGTAGGACAAGTGTAGGCGTTGCGCCCGTGGCTGAGCGACGACCTGGTCGGCCAAGACCGAAGGTGCCCCCAAAACGTTCAATTTGTTTTTCGGCAACACGCCATGGAGATTGGCTGCACGTAGTCCTCGCTAGAAGGTTTTCCCCGCTTGCTGCGTCCGAGAGAGTCAACGCCATCGAGCATCGTTTGGGGATCCATTTTTCATATGTACAAAATCGGCAAAAATAGCTTGAAAAAGAGTCTTACGGGCGACTTTTCAGAAGACAAGGAGAATTCGGTCGGCCTCTTTTCATCCTCAGATCCATCTGAGGTAGACCTTGGAAAGCAATCATGTCCACAGTATCGTCCTTCTACTCGGTGAAATATACTATGCATACAACAGGCGGTTGGGATCGGGGCCGGAAATCGAGGCGATTTCGGCATCCTCGGTCGTATCCAGCAAAGGGGCGGCCGTTTTGTCGGAAGCTTGGGGCACATGCAGGAGGTGTTTGAGCCGGTTGACGAAGGACGAACGCAAGACCCTGAGTGAGCACCAAACGGTTTCGGGGTAGGGGGTCGGGGCTGGACAAAAACGCGGTGGAACTGATGGTCTTTCAATCCACCCAACAGCCACAAAAACCACAGCAATAACTTTCTCGTGAACGTAGGGCGAAGTTTGGACCTGTTCACACGGTCGAATGGGTATCGACGAGCATGCCCGTGGATCACCTCCACGTTCAGCTGTTGTTGTTGTTGTGGTTGTTAATGTTTTGTGATGATGTTGGTGTTGATCTTGTTGTTGTCGATTCTGTTGATGCTGATGGTGTGTCATGGTGGTGTCGGCGATGTTTCGCAGGGTACAGGTGGCGATTCAGGAAGCCGCCAGGCTTCGGGGCAACACGACATGGCAGGCGAAAGACGATCTGATGAAGGGTAGGTGGTTACTCGCTCGTCACGCGGTCCGCTCCTCGCAGCAGCAAAGAATGGTTCATTTCGCGAATGACGCACCTTAGTGTTCGCACATCTGCCCGATCTTTCGAACCTTTTCGGTGGACGGGCGGATCGTTCTACATTCCTCTTTGGACACTTTAGAAAGGACGAAACCAATCAAAGTCTTACAGCGATGTTTATTGAAGAATTACGTAATGAAATTTGCTTTCGGACGTGAGACTTAGAAATATCGGGGTGCCAATAGCGAAAACGGTTCGGGCTTCGGACCTCCAAACACCCGCCCCCCCCGCCTCTCTGTTGTAAATCAAGCCGATCACTTCGTGAGCTCAGCAACCAGGCCCCTCGGTGTTTGCCATCGGGATTGGGTTTTCGTCGCTTCGCAACGACGTTGTAAAACAAGCCAATTCACTTCGTGAACTCGGCAACCAGGTTACCGTTTCTTTGTTTGCCTCTGGTTTTGTTTTGGCGGTAACCATAATGGTGGTCGAGTAGACCATGTTGTGCGGGGTGGAGAAACCTCACTCCGCGCAAGGGGGATGATCGCAGCACGTTGGGTTAAAATGGTCAAGCATCCTCGAGGCAGTTACACAGTGCTTATAACTGTCTCTGGAAGTGAAAGCACCAGAAAATAAACTAAGTCATACGCAGCTGTCATCCGTACGCAAGGAGTAAGCACAAGATGACGAACACCCTTAGTAGGATGCAGCTCACCCTTCATGCGACTCGATACCTCACGGCGCTTCGCGCTTGGTGATGTGAGAGCCTGGTCCGGTGAGAACCCGGCGTGCTCCGTCCCGGCTTTGTAGGGATGCGAGGTCAATGGTCTAACGACTACGGCATGCACGACTATGAGTACCCCCCCCCCCCCCCGCCCCCCCC